TTATCTTTAACAGCTGGCTGACATTCCATTGGCTAATCTTAGTTTAAACCAGCCAACTCGAGCGTTTAAACTAAGCTTTAGCCACATCCGTGTACTGACCCTTAAAACATAATTGTGATATTTTGATGTAGTCAAAAATAAGCGAACATTTTTTTCCTAGAAGATAATAGTTGCGATTCCGTACGAGTCCGGACTAGTCAGAATCAGTCAGATTTTACTGGGAATCGATCCCGTACTCGGTTCTCTGACTATTGAGAGGACAAAAAAGAGAGTAAATACGGTTCTCTCTCTGTCAGAAGTTACCAGTTTTAGTCCGAGAATTTTTTGCTGGTAAATTCTGGTAAAAGTGTCAAACGATCAGCTGTAGTGTGTTTGGCAACCAAATTGTAAACAAAAGAAAAGTGCGCTCTGCTAATGTATGTTGAAAAGTATTTAATTACTTGTTTAAGTGGATTCTAATCAATTTGAAAGTATTTTTGGTTATTTATATGTGTGAGCTGAGTGTGTTTACATACAAAATAAGCAAAAATTTACAACCAAAATTTGGAGGTTATGTTGAAGTTGACAGAAGTTACAATTTTTTACTAGAAAGCGATCCCGTACTTTTCAATGTTACTCTCAATTTTTATTTTTTGACAGTTTCACTAGTCCGAGTCCGAGGAATACAGGATTGCACCTATTGTGTAACTACTATTTCAAGCCCTATAATAAACAAAATCATTATGTGTAAGGGGGTTTAGCGCATTTGGGAAAGAGCTACTGAAAATGTACACACATATGTGGGCGTAAATTAGGAAATATTGAGCAAATCGAAACCTATAGCAAAATTTTGCAAGCGATTTATTTAACTGTTAACTCTTCGAGTAAGTGTCCTATTGTCCCTTATAAATGGGAGAATTCAGAACGGTATCGTAAATGTCGTATTGTTTTATGTCGTAAACTTTAAATGCCTAAACTATACTAACTGGGTTCGCAAAGTACCATCAAAGTCATATTATGCATTTACGCAGGGTTAAAAAATAGTTGGTTGTGGGTTCAAGTTCTCTAAACATTTATTTAAGCTTTTAAAATTTGCGACGTACAACAATACGAAATTTACTACACTGTTGTGAATCCCTAATATGTATATACATATATAATACGTGATGGGATTTCTTGTCTAGATCATCAATAGGTGCGTTCGTTTAAAATCTCCAACAGAAACCAACCAACTGCCAAATTCCGGCGAAATGTCATCTGTTCGCTCACAAGAGAGAAATATCCAAAATAGTACGCGAACAGAAAATTTGCAGAAACTTGCAAGTTAGACGAACAGCTGATATAATTTTTGTTTACATACAAAAGTGTAAAATTTAAAACGTACGAAAAGTCATCGCAAAGTGTTATACTGACACAGTTTATTGATTAAACAAATAACTACTTATTTCTTACAAGTTTAATTAGTCGCATTTTGTAATTTTTATCTTCCAAACCATCAAATTAAATTTTGTGATTTGCGTAAATGCCAACCAGCTGTTTTTGATCAGCTGTTTCCCTGTTGGCAAATTGCTGTTGGCAAAAATTTTTCCAACAGAAACTAACAGCTTCCCCTCAAAATGAAATGTCACTTTGCTCTCTCAATTTCCCCTACTTTGCAAGTTTTTTGCGTACGCGAACGCAAAAACCTGTAAGTTTTGGTTAAACATGAACAATTAACAGCTACGCGAACGAACCTAATATGCACCGTTCGTTCGATTTTCAAAAATCAGGTGTCAAGTTGAAGGGCTTGGGATGTACGTGTGCAATAGGTTCTTACTTTTTTTTTTAAAGATCCGCACTGTTCATTCAATATTCCAAAATGAGATGCCAAATGAAACGGCTTGAGCTCTGGATGAGTAGTATGATTTTACTGTTTCGAAACGAGTTGCCACTTTTAAGAAGTTAAATCCAAATACTCAAAAAAGTTAAATCAATTATTACAATGTGGGTATCAATCGAAATGGCTTTGAAAGTGCTTTATGCAGCGTTTTTGCTGCATTTAAAATGTAACATTTAGCACTTTCGAACATATATTTTCGAAGAGCGTTCATGCTATCGCATTTACCAAATGTACATTTACGCGAGTTCGAAATCGTATGCTTCTGACAAACAGCCCTGTTCCAGCCGCTTATTCAGATCCGTATCTATCACGATCAATTCGCACAGAGAAGATAATGTGCAAAAAACCCTACTGAAAAGGGAAAAAGAAATTTTAAACAAAAAATTCAATACAAAAACTTCAATTGTTTTTAACCATAACCGAAAATTTGTTTGTGTATTATTCATTTGTCAGTGCTGTCAGTTGAAATTTCCTCAATTAAATGGGGAAAAAACAAACAGAGTTGATCACAAATTGAGCCAGATTTCTATCAGTATCACATCGATGTTGAATTTGCGCAACCTTTTTGTTTCCAAATAATGTAAAATAATAAATGAAATCTCGCTCGGCGATGGCTGAAACGCAGCTAGCAACTGTATACGCGGAAAAGCAATGCGGCCACTTTTCTCATTAAACCATGTTCGAATCGTGGACGTTTTTGAAGATCACAGGGTCGCTTTTAGCATTTGGTCTCTTAATGCAGAAATAGAGTTGCATTTAGGTGACGAATTTTGTATGGATAAATGTACATTTGAGTAGCATTTAGAGCTAAATGCGCTAAATTTGCTTTTCTGCGTAAGCAAAAACAGCCCATAAGGCAATTAGGTAATGGAAATACATATGTATCACAATATGAGCGTCAGACGAAAGAAATCTGTTTGAAGCGGTTTGCCTCCTGTTTCAAAAGTTAAATTGAAGTTATTGAATAAGTCAAAAGAATTCTTTGAAGATGGGTATCAATAGAAGAGCATTTCAAAGGCTTTATTTCAGAATTGTATTTAGGAGGGTTGGCAAGTGTGTAAAATATCAAATTCAACTTAATTCATCATCTAATTGAAATATGTTTCCCATTGCCATGAAAGAGATTTAAGAAAATTTTTGTTTGAAAATGCATTTGAATAGAGCCTGTTTGAAAAGTCAAATTAAGTTAAATTACACAAAGTTAATATTAATATTTAAATAGGAAAGTTTTAGTTGCAAATATTTTTGATTAGGGTTGCCACCTATTCGAAAAGTCATATCTATCTACTACATACATTAAGGCGGGTTAGTTTTTTTTGTATGTATGTGTAATTCTAATTTTCTGAAGAAACCATGGGTTTAAAATCAGGTTTTGTGTCGTATTAAAAACAAGCTATAAGTGGTATGAGAAATCAATTTCTGTACCTATTTTTTCTTAAAAGTTACGTCAGAGCACGCAAGAGTGAACACATTTTCTTACGTGTTAAAATAAGAAAAAGTATGTTTTACTCTTCCCCGACATTTTTTTTTTTATATAATTAAAATTCAATACAAAATGCATGAATATGTATATATGATATGTTCATATATATATACATATTCATAAGAAATAACTTTTTACACATTCCATTTTGATTAAAATTTCTATTAAATGAATTACAGTCACTCACAAAATTAAGTACATTCACAATTGTTTTAATGTAAAAAGTGTTTGTAATTTCTTATTAAAATATGGCTTGTATTTCAAATCTTATTAAAAAGTTTGCAATTTTTGATGAAGTTTTGCAGAATTCTTCCGATTTTCGTACAAATTCAAGTTTGACTAAAAAATGGAAACTGGGAAAAACATTAAAACTTGACTTGTATTTTCACACCATATAAATCTGAGTTTCAAACTTTGTACGAAATTTATAAGAACACTGCAAAACTTCATAAATAATTGCAAACTTTTTAATGAGAGTTTGTACATTATTTTACTAAAATTGAAAAGGCTATCAAACAACATAGTAGATTTTTTAATATTATTAAAAAGTTTGCAATTTTTAATAAAGTTGTGCAGAATTCTTCCAATTTTCGTACACATTAAATTTTGATTAAAAAGTGGAAACTGTGAAAAAATTAGAACTAGGTAGAGAAAAATCCTCATAGTGTTGTACTATGAAGTATGGATATTCCCTTTCGGTAATTACTTTCGAGGCATTAATACTGGAGATAACCTTCGTCGATTCGACGAGTGTGCAACAAACAGTTCGCTGTCACTTACCGGCGAATGCGCTAGAAAAGTAGTAATAAAATAAAAACAATGTGTAATTAAATAGAAAGTAATTAGTTTATTTGATAGGATCACATATGCATGCAAACACACATACATGTGTATAGTGGTCCACAAAATAATTGGAGTGCGATATTTTGAACAATTTTGACTATTTGTTCAAACTTTTTAATCAGAATCTTTAGCTGTTTGTACAAAAATATAAATAAAAGACAATTGTCGAACATACTTTGTATGGGGAAAAAACGTGAAACGCCTTCGCCCAAAAAAATTCTCAAAAATCAACGGGATTTTTTACCAACTTGAAACTGGCACTTTGTTTACCAGAATTAAGTGGGCTACAAAACTGCATACCAAAATGCTAAAGATTCTGGTTAAAAAGTTCGAAATTTTGGGGAAAATTTGCATAATTTTTGTACAAAGTTTGAAATGTAGATTTACATGGTGTTTGTTGTATAACCAGCTAGACTTTTATAAAAGAAATAATAAACAAAAGACAAATAGCCAAAACTGTTCAAAGTATCCCACTTCTATTATTTTGTGGACAACTGTGTATGCAATAAACACAACGAAAAATTATATAATACATGAAAATAAAAAATTTTTTAAATGTTCGTCGAATCGACGAATGATTAGGGTTTATAGGATTCGGGAGAACTTTAGCTTTCTAGAATTGAACAAAAATTCTAACTTTTTAACAATTATATTCAACAATTTTTATTGAGCTTGAGGCCGTTCTTAATGAAAAACCTATTGCGGAAAAGCAACCATAATTTGAAAAAATGGTAAAGGTGATAGCTATTTCGGAAATCACCACATTTCCCCATCAGACTTCTTTCAGTAGGATCCACAATGTGATCCACATTTCTATTTCACTTTATTGTAAGTTTGGATAAATATTTATTAAAAGTTTTATAAAATTTAGGTTTGCATTTGCGACAAAAGTGCAAGGTTAAAGTGGAACCCGGATTATTTGAATGGATGGCATGGTATCCTGAAGGTGTTCCGGATTGGCTGGGTATATCCGAGTTAGTGAAGGCCGATTACAACGTGGATATTAATTATCAACCATTTATGACTGCAAATAAGTTGAACGATTGCATCAAAGAAACAACCGAAGAGTTTTATACGCGTAACTACGAGATTATGCGTAAAATTATTGAAACAACAAGTATGTTCAAAATCAAACATAAAGAAGTAGATTAAAAGCAAATGATTTTCATTTTATAGAGGGTAACGTATTGGTTGTGGCCCATGCAACAACTCTCGATACTTGCACACGTCAGCTAATTGGTGCATCACCACGTAGTACGAATGAATTGCGCCAAGTTATTCACAAAATACCATATTGCAGCCTAGGGACTGTAGAGGAAGTGGATGCTGGCGTCTGGAAATTTGTAGAACCTGAATGTTTACCCGTGACTCATTCAAAAAATCCTCGCTTCGAATGGAATGCACTTACTGCCACATAGTGTTCGTGCTTTGATGAGATGCTGCTGGTTGCTGAAAATCGCGTGGAGAAGGTATTGTGAAGAAATGTTCATTAAAATAATTTAAACCAAATTAATGATTTTCTTCGAATTATAAAAGGAGAGAATTGAAACTAATTAAGAATTCCTTCAAGGATAATACAAATTCTTGTACTGACTCCTATTTTCGACTACACATAGCCTTGCCATCGTTTAAATGCTATTATGAAATTCAGAAGTAAATTTACTTTAATGATTTATAATCCAAAACGCGATAATAAAGCTCTGTTTGCGCTCATCAAAAATGAACCTACATTTATTTATTAGCCTTTCAAAGAGAAGAAATGTCACTTAGTATACAAGATGCTTACAATTTCTAATAAATACTATTTATTCTGAACACAACAGACTTAATCTAAATCGAAATAAATTTAAAGAATGATTAGCAATTTACGCATTGTAATATTTTATATAAAATTGCAAATGTTTAGGAAATGGTTGATTTACGATACAATAGAAACTGACATACTGCAAATGTTTACGCGTATTTAATTACAAGTAGTGCAAGAAATAAATGTATATAAAGTTTGTTCGTATAAATATTAAATTAAGAATTTTAATAACCCAGCACAAATGAAGGCCAATAAATATAAATAATACCGCTAATAGCTTGAGTCATTCAATATTTTTACAAGGTTTTAACCCGTATGCGGGGTTAAAAATGATAAATTAACTTTTAACAAATTGTTGAGAGATGAGTTTATTTCGGAAATATTTGATCACTTACTGCTAATAAGAATTAGCAACCATCAATTTAACCTATCATACTTTTAATGGGCTTTTTTTTGTAATACGTTAACGCCATATAATATAATGTTTGATATTGAGTGAAATTTGACTAGCTCTTTTGCGTCATGCTACTTTAAACCAGTTAATTGCTTCTAAAACGACTTGCGCCATTAGATTTGTTTTTTACTACTGATCTTAAATAAAACTTTGAGTTAAATTAGCACCACGACCGCCTGAGTACTACTCAAACCAAAGCACTAACTACAAAATTTAAGTGATACAGTTTTAAACGTATGTTAGTCTGCTATAATAGAGCCAAGTGTAGCGCGATTAATAGTGAAGTTAGCCTTCTTAATTGCGAGTTTTAAATACCTCAAATCTATTTATAAATTAATTCGAGAGGAGTTTACGTACATCAATTACCTCAGAGTAAGGAGTAGCCTTTTGTTCACTGAAAGCCACCAACACCACCAACACAATATTATGTCGCTTTTCTCATCAATGTGCGTAAGTTGAAGACATTTGTTAAATTGTTGGAAACTGCTTAATTGAAACAATTTTCAAGTGGGGCGATAAATATTTTACATACAGTAATATAAAACAATTGGATATCTTATATTCCTTTTTGTGTATTACTGTCAATATTTCGCCTTTAATCTAAAGGCGTCTTCTCTTCTTCTTCTTCTTTTTGGCGCTGCAACCGCCTACGCGATTTTGGCCGAGTTCAGCAAAGCACGCCAGTCGGTTCTCCTCTGTGCCAAGTGACACCAAGTGAAGCCAAGTCCTCCACCTGATATTTCCATCGTCTGCGGTACTCGCCGTCGCCAACGCGTAAAGGCCCGTAAATCTTCCGCAAAATCTTTCTCTCAAACACTCCAAGAGCCGCCTCATCGGATGTTGTCATTGTCCGTTTATTGTTATTATGTATTTATTATTATAAATTGTAAAATTAACTAGTCTTCTCGGTGATAATGGCTATTCAGATAACCTTAAAATAAAAAACATTATCTGTGTACACAATTTCATCAAACTCGTTAGAGCCATTTCCGGGAAACTCTATGGATATATTTTGACGTTTCGATCTTTAGCATGCTAATTTGTGATGTGTTTTCTTCTTTTTTAAACTTGCGTCTTAAATAAAGCGATTTGGCTCTGGCAACAGTTCATTTTGCCTTTCAGCGGCCCGACAAGACAAAGTCGTCGAAATATCTTCATCCAACGTTGTGGATAATTTTCCCATAAAATTGGCTTGCCCCTCTGAAGGCAGTCCTGAGTTCCGGAAAATCGTGGTCTTTTTGCTTCCCGGCTTCCCTACTTGTCTGCGGACGTTCTTCCTCCGACTCACTAACGTTGCAACTTTCTTCTGCTCCAAAACTTTTGGAATTTATCATGCCCTCAACAGCTGCGAAACGTCCTTATGGGGCGGCCATTCAACATTTAACAATGTTGTTAGTTCTTTCCACTCTTCCTCAACAGATACTGTGTCGCCTTTCGAAAAAAATTATTTTTATATTTAGGCGAAGAGATACTCAATAGTAATATCGGCGGGTTTTGTGCTCTCGTAAGTATGTGCTGAAAAGATGTGGCCTTTCATTAAAAATAGCGCCTAAAGTACCACTGAGAGAAAATGGTACCATTTATTTTACCTAAGTATTAAATTGGCAACCGTAACTGCGCGTCAAAAATTTACAAAAGTCAAATTTTAAGTTACACATATAATAATATACGTTTATTAGTTCTAATAATATAGGGTAATATGCATGATTCAATAATAATTAATTATTTATGTACATGGAAAATATCACATTAAAATAAGGTTTGTTCTTAATACAGTTATATTGTATATAAATATATAGCGTCGCCTGTATGCCAGAAACATGAATGTGCAAAAATGAAAACTTTGAGAAATCGAGTTTGAAGGTTTTTTGTTTACGAGACTTAACTCTATATTTATGCAATTGAAATTGTAAAATATGTGGTTTCCCTGTACGCATGGTATTCTGGGGTTGGTATAACGTAGAACATCTAAAGGTCAATCAACTCAACCCAATAACTCAAAACTGATAAATTTACACATTCATGCTTTTGGCATAAGGGTGACGATATGTATATTTACATATGTATGTACGTACACCGTGGCTTTTTTAAACCTCTTGAAAAATTTGCTTATTATCTTTGATTCAATTGAAAAAGTACAGCTAATGTAACGTCCTTGAGCGCTAGTACAAGTTAATGAAATTTTCGTTAACAACAGATGCACTTTGAACTGTAGGCAATGCGAGCTTTTTCAAACTCAACTTTTCTTGTAGCGATATTAAGCCACCATTAGGGCATACATAATGTGACCAACCGTTCTTCTTTCGGAAGTACAGTACTTCTTTTTTAGCTCTTGTACTTCGTACTTCGTGTACAGGCAAATGTACTTCTTTGCAATATTTTGTACTTTAGGTCCTGTGCTTGCCCGATCTTCTGGACGAACATCACAAGGCCTGCGCGATAAATTCATTGAAACCCTTCAAGTCGCCGGGGACCAATGGCATCATACTTGCGCGGCTGCAAAGGGCTCTGGAGGTGTCGTGCAATTGGTTGGCTCCTATTTATGCTAAATGCGTGTTGACCGGGTACATCCCCAAGGCTTGGAGGGTAGTCAGTGTGGCGTATATCCCGAAGGCCGGAAAAGGCACTCAGGCTTCCCCTAGAGATTTTAGGTCTATCAGTCTGTCTTCCTTTTTACTAAAAACGCTAGTGACTGATAGACCTGTACATAAGAAACGCGATTCCTCGTGTCTTTTAAGAGCTCCACATGCTTATTGCAAGGAAATTTCAGTGGATACCGCCTTGCACACATTGGTAAAGTGGTTAGGGGAAGCCTTCACGGCTCATAATTAGTGGAGCATAAGGAACCACACCTATACTTGCGCTTAACGTCACGTTTCCCAGCTGCAGCAAAAGATTTTATAGGGCACTTTAAACCAGAGCTTCTTAAAGTGGGTTCCGTAGAAAAGTCACCGGGGTTCCGCGAAATTAATTTTGGTATGAATAAGCACGGCGGTCGGTTTGAGTTCCACACAGAAAGAAAATTTCTATAAACAGCTTGACTGAGACGCAATTATCTATTTTCAAGTGTACATATCGTGACCTGAAATTCAAAAGGACGTAACAAACATCATCGCTGAAATTCAAAAAGTCATAACTAATAAAAAATTCAAAATTCACTTAAGTGATGGATTTCATCGAATTACAACGATATGTACTCGTACTTAGAATGATTGCCGTACTGAGTGCCATAGCCTGCAAACCATTTTTTCAGAGTATTCTGAATAGTAGAGAAATTTTAAAGAATTCGTAAAGATATCATCCGATTTTTTGCCGAATTTTCTAAAATTAAATAAACTGTGCACCCTTCGATTCGTTTACGAAATTTCGGAAGAAAATCGTTAAATCAACGAAAGTAATGCTGCTATGTGGAGAATTTCCAGCAGATTTTTTTCAGAATTTTCTTTATATTTCGTACAGAAATTTCTTTACGAGCTCGTGTCAACCGCTTCATATAATTTTCTTTGAAGATTCGTAAACAAATCGTTACAGAAATAAGATACTCCTACATATTTCGTTAACATTTCGGGAACTTTGGTTTGCAGGGATACCTACATAAGAGCGGTAAGCTTGCGCTTGACAGCTTGTTTTTTTCCATTGGTATGTTGTTGTTGTTGTTGTTGTTACTGTAGCGGCTACAACAACCCCGTCCAGATCGGTTAATATCTCAGTCATTGTCGTCAAGTTCCACTAACGGCTGCCCTAAGAAGCGTGCAGCCTCAATAGGGTCGTTCCACAGGGACAAAGGCGTTAGGGTTGTCGGGTTTTCCGGGCATGCGAAGAGATGTTTCGAGTCGTGAGGGGTCCCTCCGCATGCCGGACACTCATTTGGCACATCCGCGTTTAGTCTGCTCAGGTATGAGTTTAACCTGCTGCAGTAGCCAGAGCGTAGGTGGGCTATTGTGGTTCTTGTCTCCCGAGGCAGATGGTCGTAGTAATATCTGATTGGTACAAAATCCATTTACGAAGCATTCATAGATCTTCAGAGTACTTCGACATTGAAACACACCTTTGAATCTGTGTCTCTGAAAGAGTTTTGGTTTAGTGTTCAGAGTAAATATCATGAAGTCACTAAAAATGCCCTCTTAACTTTGCTTCCTTCTTTCGAAACGTACTCTGTCAACAGGGTATTCAGCTTACACATGTACAAAAAACAAATTCAGGTCGAAATTAGATGCTACCCCAGAAATGTTCATACAGCTTTCAGACATTATATCGAACTTCTATTTTATACAATACCTAATTAACAATGAAACTATTTCATTCTTTACATTAAAATTTAAAGTATGTGTACTATTTCTAGTAGAAGTTTTTATTATGTGTACTATTTCTAGTAGAAGTTTTTATTCACATATAAATTGCACTGCCTTTGATTTTTAGTAATTTAATGAGGGGCTCCATAAAATGGATGGTGTTTAGTAAGGGTTCCATTATCTTCAAAGTTTAAGAACCCCTGCTTAAACAACCGTTTGTAGCGCCAGATATGAGTGCCATACAAAAATGCCGCTCAGCCACTCAGAAATGCCGCTCAGAGCATGGCCACTTCAATAGTTTTTCATATGTTTTAATTAAGCGGCTCAGCCGCTCGCCGCTTTGCCGCTCATTGCGTGGCCTCGGCCTAAGAGGGAAGCATTTCGACTCGCACTTCTTAACTAACACTGAGCTCTCAGGGATCGAAATTAGGCGCATTCGAAATTTGGTAATCGGCTCTCGGCGTTTCGTCGACTAAATCGAGGTTCTCCGTTCAGTGGCATTACAAGGGACAATCACTTAATTATCTAAGTGTGTTCCTGGGGGCCTGGGGCAACCACTTGAACGTGGGTTAAACCTGTACTTCTTCCAGCTATGAAATAGTTGGTCACATTAGACATACATGCCTTAAAAGGCGAACTAGACAATTCTGGTTTTCTAGGTCGGGAAGCTTTACTTTTGATGGCTCCAACGAATTTAACCGATTTGTGCCATAGGTGTTTCAAAAACGAGCCACTCTAAATTAGATGGAAAACGTATGGCGAAGGTTAGTTTACAAAATGTACTTATCAGGCAATTCATTAAACGATCTGCAATCTCCTTGTTTTTCCTTATATTTTAATTAAGTCACTGTGCACTGTTCAAATGAATGAAAAACAAGCATTTTTTCGTAAGCCGCATAATATTACTATGAAAAGAGAAGGTAACCTTTTTTTACCAACTTCCCTATCGAGTTTTCTTCAGATTTGGTTATTCTTCAAGAAGAAAATAAATTGAAGCTTTCAGGTGCCTACAAATGCCGATGGAAGCTTAATTTTTGAAGAAAACACATGCCTATACATGTGGAGCGGGGCGTACGTACATATTTCATAATTCATTTCGTTATTTCGTAATACATATCGAGCCCTAACCGCCAAAATAAAATTTTGAAATAAATGTCGCTTACGTTATTTTGGCGGTTAGGGCTCGATATGTTCATAAGAGGAAATTTACATGATTCAACTTTTACAAAGTTGAACGAAAGCAAGGCGAATTTATGGCCCTTATTATGAGCTGCATTCGATTTTCGATCTTCGCTGGCTATCGAAGATAGAAGATCGAAAGTGAAATTCGTATTATGAGCTATGCAGGCGTGTCGAAATTTTCGTTGAGTATCGAATTTTCTGTCGAACAGAATTTTGCTTTCGATGGTGTACCGAAGTGTTAGAAAATTGTGAAAAATGTATGATTTTGTATATGTTTTCTAACATTTTGGCGGCTAGACACTAATTTTAAACAATTTTTATTAATTTCATGCAGTTCTAACATCGTGAATACTAAACACAAGCTCGAAAGGCTGGTTTTACTTGTGAAAGAAAATCCCAATGCTCTGTTGGCACGATCTCTGAGAACAAAATCGTAGCGCTGTTGATAGTTTTAAAATATTTTAAATAGATTTGGCTCACAAACGCCTCTTTAGATGGTCGGAACTTTTTAATGAATCTGTAGACAAATTTCTTAAATATATTTTATATCAAAATATATTCGAAAGACTAATAAACTTAAACTCTCTTAAACATTTGCTACTCCTGGCCAGTTTACTAAGCTCTCATCCTCTGACGAATCGTTGAACCAGAACTCGTTGTACTCATTTTACCACGTTTTTATAAAATTGCTTTCTTTTTTACTTCATTTTAATTAGAACAAATTTGCATAAATATGTATAAGCACACTATTTAGTTTGCTCGATTTGTAAACAAAGCTTCTCAGCGGTGAAAAATATACTATTGTGAACAACCTAAACGAGCGAAATTCACAATAGCGCTATTCTTCATCGAATGAGCGCCATAATACCAAATGAAAATTCGTTCGCTCAGCACTTTCGACCACAGTCGAAAATCGAATGCAACTCATAATAGGGGCCTATACAAGGTGGTGTTAGTGGCGAATTTAGATTTTCACCGCGAATTAATATTACAACAAACACATAATTGTGACATGTATGCCTGGGTTATAATGGAAGTAACGGAACGGAGTGAACTGTCACTTACAGGTCTATTCTGCACGTTACCGAAGATTTTGTAACCGGAAAATTTTATTACCAAAAAGTGTTACCAGTTCTTGTCACCGCAAATTCTGGCATTTCATATTTCACGGGGCAATACTTTGTTACCAGCTTATGAGATGGTAACAAAATTTACCGGTTACAAGAGTACACAGAATGCGAAAATGGTTAAAAAATTGACAGACACTTTAATTACCGGTTACAAACTTTTTATTACCAGCGCAGAATAGACCTGTTAATTGTCTATTGTATGGGAATGCAAATGGTTATAGTGCACGTAACATAACGTAAAACGGAACAATCTAAAATCAATAGATCCTTACGAATTCGCCGCGATTTGTTACGATTCGCCCCGTCCATTATAACCAAGGCATAAGAAGGACCGCGGTGAAAATCTAAATTCGCCAGTAACACCATCTTGTATAAATTCGCCTTGAACGGAAGTAGGCAACTGACCAACTTCATTGTTGTTATTGTTGTAGCAGCATACAAGTTCCCCAAAGTTTTTGGGGAGTGTTACTTGATAGAAAGTCCCGACTGTCGTGGGAAAGCCATTTACACCAGGAAACTGCTGCATTCAACTAAAAGTTTGCTGTAAAATTGACTCATGTAAATTCTTCTATTAATGGCGGTATGCCTACATAAATCATATTAGGGATGTGCAATTAATCAGTTAATCGAGCAAGCTGATTAATCGAAACTTGATTAATGAAAGATGTGAGCAAATTTACTCAGATTTCAATTATTTTTGATGACTAAACAGAATCTGACTAATCACGTTTTTTGTTTAATCCGGATTATGATTAATTACAAAATTATTTAATCGATTAATCGCACATCCCTAATTTATATCATAAACAATTTTTTAATGCAAAATACTCGGATAAAAAAAGCTTAGTATAATGAATATCCTTGATTATTCGTATTTATCGTTATATCCTTATTCAACGAGCTACTTATTGTTCGTCTCCGAAGCTGTTGGTGGTGTATAACGGCCGGCTAGTTGATTTTGGTGCTGGTTTACCAATCGTTGGCGCTCCAAATACATAGAAACCTTTATATTTCTTACTTGATGATTTTGTATGAGCTTAAGCAGGGCTATTACTCCGATTCCGACCGATATGGCAAATGAACCCCAAGCGCCAAACTGCTTAGACCAAAATAAAATAATTAGTATGTATTTTAAAGCCCAAAATACAATAGCGCTGTGGCAGTGGCAGTGACAATGCTTAAAATCAGCTGTTCCTGCTAATAATAGTTGCGTTCGATTTCAAAATTAGCCAACACCAGCCAACAATCAAAATCAAGAGAGTAAGCGAAAATTCTCTCTCAAAGAGATGAAAAAGGAAAAAAGTAAACGAACAGGAAATTAACCATCACTTGCAAAAACCGGAAGAAGAAGACACACCAGCTGACTTTGTTTATGTTTTATTTGTAAACAAACTGAAATTCATGTTGCCTCCATAGAAGAAAAAAGGAAAGTGAACGTTCAATGTTCGCCAGGAACATTTCTAGAAGTAAAAACTAGTTGGCGCTATCATAAAGTCACATAGCACGCAGCCAGAAAGCATATAAATACCAAGGTGCAATCCCGTATTCCTCGGACTCGAACTAGTAAAACTGTCAAAAAATAAAAATTCGCTCAGAGCGAGAGAGTAGCATTGAAAAGTACGGGATCGCTTTCTAGTAAAAAATTGTAACTTCTGTCAACTTCAACATATCCTCCAAATTTTGGTTGTAAATTTTTGCTTATTTTGTATGTAAACACACTCAGCTCACATATGTAAATAACTAAAAATACTTGCAAATTCATTAGAATCCACTTAAACAAGTAATTAAATACTTTTCAACATGAATTAGCAGAGTGCACTTTTCTTTTGTTTACAATTTGGTTGCCAAACACACTACAGCTGATCGTTTGACACATTTACCAGAATTTACCAGCAAAAAATTCTCGGACTAAAACTGGTAACTTCTGACAGAAGTGCGTGTCTCCCGAGGCAGATGAAGCTCCGTCTCGTCTATGTCCGGGGGTGGTATGCCTAGAACGGCATTCACAGGTCTAGAGTCTACATAACTCGAGACTGAGTCCCTGTGAATGCCGTTCAGGGCCTGTCTGTAAGCTGTCGGGTCCAGAGGTTGCTTAATGAACCTCTGGACTTCGTCCGTCAGTTCATATAGATGCCTCCTGACGTGCCTAGGCGAGGGCTCCTCTGCAAGCAGCTGTCTGCTTGGGTGGCCACTTCTGTGGCTCCCGATCAGGAACTGCTTGCAGAGCATTATATTATGCTCCTTAACAGGGAGCATTTGCGCCTCGCCGTGCAGGTGGTGTTCAGGCGACATCAAGAGGCATCCCGTCGCTGTCCTAAGTGCCGTATTTTGTACCGTCTGTAGCTTCGTCCACTGCGTCCTACTAGTCCCTGGCGA